CTCCTCTGGTATGACGTGTTTGGTTTCCTGTATCATCTTTGGCTTTTCCTGTACTTGCTCCCTTTTAAACATAAAATACTAAAACTGCAGATAGTACTCACAATTTGCTCTTTATATCTGATGTTTTTTGCAGCTGTTAGAAAATGACCAATTTCTGAAGTTTTGAATAAAATGGAATAAATGCTCAGCTGCACCACAATTGCCAGGGGTATTCCACAAACCAGGGAAGAAGGGGGGAAAAAATGCGATGGAACAAATGTTTCAAAGATCAGTTTCAATAGTCTTCAAGCACTGATATATTTTGAAGCTTGTTTTGAAAGTTTATAGCTTCATGATTACCGTGCCAGGATAGATGCCTGTAACAGTTTATTTAAATTTTAATTTGCAATTGTGGATCTTGGACATATGAACCTTGTTTTTCATTGCCAGCCTCTGTATTGCAGGCAAATCATAGTTCTGTGTCTTTTTGTCTTTTTTTCTCCACAAGCTTTTTTTATCATTCAAGAAGAAGAAAAATGTGTTTTTATTAGCTGGTTCTGGTGAAATAGGTACATGCTTTCTGTCTGTAAGATATATAAGTAATTTTTATAACTGGAAAAAGTCAGCTCACTATCAATAGGAATGTGCCACCCTAAATTTAATGTTTGTGAAAAAAAGGGAAAGTCATCAATACTTTAAATGTCTGATAAAACAGGTTTAAAATGATCCTTTTGGGTCTCTCCCAACTCAGCAGATTCTGTAAAATTCAGGCACTGTTTTCACTTTTGAAACATGACTGAATCAGTAGAACTCGAGCTTAAAAGACGGTAAGGAAACTTTTTTCCTAATTTTTTTTAAGGTTACTGAAATAATATTAGTGCTTAATCCATGTAAAACCAAGTAACTACCTGGATTACTTTCACAAAATGACATTTGGAAAACTGGGAAAAATACACAATTTGGGGTCAGTGCTATGAGAAGCAAGGTGCATGCTAGCTATGGAAGAGTTTTTAACCCTGGGATAAACCATGTTTTCAAGTATAGTAGTGGTTACTTTCTAATGTTTTAATGCCAAGGTGAAGGTTTTGCATGGCAGTCTTAATCTGTATGGTCAAAGCTTTGAAATTCCAAAACCTTACAAAACACAGAAGAGTCAGACTGTAGATGTTGGACGTTGCACAAATTGCAACTTTATTCAGTGTTTGATTAGAGTGGTCTGGAATTAGTGTGGCTTAAATGAAAAACTTCCCAAAGAAAAGTATCAACCAGGAAAAAAGTTCTGGTGTTCAGATACTTTATGAAAAAACGTGGACTGAAAATATGAAGTGTGACGTGCCTTTTTATTTGACAGCAAAATCTCCCTCTTAACCATTGGCTAATCTCTCCGTACGCAAACAGGGTGTTTAAGAGTAGATACTCCTGTGAGGAGAAAGGAACTAGAAGTACTGGATGCTTTTAAAGGAGTTCAGGCTCAGATTTTAAGATACTGAAGATAACATCAACTCCTCATAAATTTTGCTCCTTAGTCAGACTTTCTCTCTGGGTTAAATCCCTCTGTATGGTAACACCATGCATCTTTTTAAAAGAGTAGTTTCAAGGACTAGGGTTTACTGAACTGGAGTCAAGTCTTCCTAATATAACTAGAAGAATGTGACTGATTGGGGTAACTTGTTTTTATTTCTTCCTCAGAATGACTGCCTTGTGCACGATGAAACACTTATGTCAAGCAACCAGAAATGAGAACAGATACGCAAAAAGGTTCTTTGGTACTCTTCTGACGCAGACACCACAAAAGTGGTTCTTTTTTCCCTTCTGGACAGTGGTACCTGACCCTAGAAAGTCAACTGTGTTTGCACTTACTCAGCCATTTTGTACAGCTGAAAAATCTCAGACAGAACCAAAAAGGAATACAGCATTTGGAAGTGTTGGGCGAAGAATTCCCTATCGTATTTTGCATGTAATCAACCAGGATGGAGAGAGCTTAGGAAATATGCATCGAGCAGATGCACTCAAACTTATGGATCAACATAACCTGAAACTAGTTCTGCTTAAAGAGAATGTAGAGCCTCCAGTGTACAGATTAATGACTGGGCAGCAGATCCATGAAGAACAGCTTAGACGTGCAGAGAAGAAAAAAGCAAGTCCAAAACCAGGTATGTACATTGTACACACTACAACACTGAGCACTCTGAAAAATGCTGCATTAAAAATGGTTCCAGCAGATTAAATCCTCTTACTTGTATTTGTGTAAATCCAAAGCAATGTCACTGCAGTCCACGCTATTAAGGATTTGCAGTGGTGAAAATAAAATTTTGGATTAGTCTTCCACAAAAAAGCCTTCTATTGCCTTCTCGGGATTTACTATTTTGGCATCTGCTGACTTTTTAGAAAAATATTTTTATTTAAGTGAATATAACTAAACTCTGGTTCTGTGAGAGCCAATGAATTTCTGTTCTTTTACTAAGGCATAGTGACAGGCTCTTTTTACAAACTGAGTACCAGATACACCAATATAATAACATAATTTGTCACCAGTAGTCATGAAACACTCTCTTCCTCATTTGCTGCTAGGAAGACAAAGTCTGGAGCCCTTTCTTGGACAGAATAAGAGAAAACTTTATCAATATTGAACACTTTTGAGGTTTCTTTTTCTTAAGACAGCCTGCTCCAGCAGGTTCACAGACTGAGTTTGGCAAAGAGATTTTACAAAAGGCACGTGACCTTGTGTCCTCTCTTCTTATCCTCAGGCTAACAAAGACATCTATGCTTTGGGTAGAGTTCTGATTATAACAGAGAGCACTATTGTGGTAACAAGTGGCTCTGTTCAAGAAACTACAAAAAGATGATTCAAATGGTAACTACTTTAGATGAACTTTAAGGAGGAAGAGACCGCAAAATGTTCAGATATATTACAAGGCATCTTCATGCTTTCAGTTGAATATTGCACTTCAGCATTCAATGAAATGGGCTCAAGATGAAGAGCTCTTTCAAGTCAAAGCTTTTACCTTCAGCTGTGCTGTGTGCAGAATGTAGGAGTTTGCACACTAAGACTTTAATTCCAGATCCAATGCTCACCTATTTGTTAGACCTACAATGCGAACGGTATGAACAAGACTGTAATTAAAAATACCTTAAGTTTTCTGACCCTAAAGAGATTTCCCTGTGTGCCTCACACATACACTCAGTCTCCCAGTTATGGCAGAGTGTGAGAATATCAAGTAGCCACCTAGAGTGGTGCATGTTGAGACAATGAGATCGGGATGTTTTGAGAAAGCAGGATGGGAGGAGGGAGTTAAGCAGACAAAGCATCATGAGGTGTTAAAAGAGCAACTGATACAGGTTCGTCAAATGTTCAGCCAACACAGTTTCAGTTCTGTTTTAAACAGGAGTGGTTCAGAAGGAGCTATCCTTTTCTTCAGCTATTGCCAAAAATGACTTGGAGATCAAGACTAAACAGATAGCACAGTGGATTGACAAGAAATACCATGTTAAAGTTACCATCCGGCAAGCAAAAGGTAGCAATGCGGACATGGTGAGTGAACTCCTGAAAATTGGACCAATCAGTTTCATTAAATAGCTGTAGTTGTATTAACCTGCCCTATTCGGTACCGCCACAATTTTTTGTATCTCATGTACTGCTGAAGTACGTAAAGGTCTAGGTCCTGTGCAAGTAATGGCTGCCCACCTTAAGCTGCTTCTGTACAAACACTGCAGTTCTAGAAAAGTAGTCCCACAGAGCCGGTTCAAGGACCATGCTTTATTAAGAATGCAGTTACAATACTGGCTTTGACAGCACAATCTAAGCAGTCTATGCAGCACCACCTTATTAACTGGGCTGGTCAAATTTTCCCATCTATGCCTTAAGCCAGCTCACTCACTTTTAACAGTGAGGTTTGAAAAAGTTCTGCTGTATTTGATCTGGATTATTTCAATAATGCAACTGTTCTTCTACAGATACAAGTGTGCAACTGTGGCTAAGGTTAGTTGTCCACTGTGGCATGAAAAACTATTGGAATGGTGTTCCAAGACTAGCAAAGTGAACATCTATAAAGATGTTAGGGAGCTGGTGGCAACTTACTAGTATAATTGCAGGGCCTTGAGACTTCATTGTCATTTGCACAAATGGCTTTTTTATAAATTCCATGTAAGAAATATTTTACTCCCCCTTGTAATGTCTGTAGTGAATTAGGTTTCCTTGATGGTTGTCTCAACTGAGTTGGGGGAAATTGTGTTATCACTTCATCCAAAAGGAATAAAACTTTTTATAAGAAGTTAAATCCACAGGGAGAGGGTAACAGGAGGAACTGATTATGGGAGGGAACAGAACACTTCATGACACAGTCTAGATTTACATTGTCCTTAAATTTAAAAGTTTAATTAGGAGCTTAGGAGTTCACTGTGTTACATGAATGCACTGTTATCACTCAGTTCAATACAACCAGGTTCTGCTAACCTTAAGAACAATACTGCTTCTCAAGAGGAAAGCCTCATAATAACGTGTCTGACTCTAGTGGAATAGGAGGATGGGGGGGGAGCCAGATGCAGACCACTCTCGTGGACACCCTTAAAGAGCAAAACAAGATGAGTTAGGAGTTCAGCTTGAAGGCTAGGAGATGGCTTAATCCCTCCTGTGTGACCTTCCTAAACCTGCTTATGAGTAAAGAACAAACAGTTAGGAAAGGACAAGCTGAACTGCTCAAACTAGGACTACCAAATAGGTTGTTTCAGCTAACAGCTAAACCATAACCATTACACAACAGCTGGAAATATTTTTCTGCCCGTATTTGTGCATTGATTTAGTCCTATTTTTCTCTTCCTTTTTAGTCCATGCTTTTTGATCAAATTTTGGAAACTGTGTCTGAGAAAGCCACTTATCTTTCCAAGCCAAAAGTTACTAGAGAAGGAGTGAGTGCCTGTATTTTGAGACACATGTCTGACAAAGAGTTGAAAGCACACCAGAAGATGGGAAACCAGAAAAACAGTACAGTAAAGAAAGACGAAAATGAAAATGTGAAGTCAAATGAGTTGCATCAGTGACTTTATGAAGCAGTGTAAACAATACTAATTTATTAAAAAATAAAATAAAAATATTAACTTGATAAAAGTTATTGTTAAGCTTTGCATTGGTCATTCCATGAAGAATGTTGTCTCAGTTAACCTTTACTGCAGAGTCAGAATTTCAACAGTTGGTATTTCATTTTCCACAAGCTTATTCATTGTCTTGCTTTCTGTCACAACTGCATCCTTTCTTGGCTGTGCTTTAGGAGGAATGTAGCCACTCAGACGTGAGGCTAAGCTCCTCTTAGGACGGGAATGCTTGGCCTGGCAGAAATAAATCCAGAATTAGTAAACTTTACGTATCTATGGAACAAAGACTACTAATGTGGGGGGGAAAGAAGAAATCAATGAGTAGGCTACCACTGTAGTAGTTAAAAGAGCTTCAGAAATTAAGAATCTCACAAATTAACTGGATAGTTAACCTGTTTTTCTGCTTCAAGTCACATTCTAAAACACATAACATTTACCCTCCTCTGCAATGACATGGTATGGTTGAGAAGACTTTCTCAAGAGTATAACTTACTTTCAAGTTCAGCTTTCTCTTTTCAGGATCATGTACAACAGCGTGCCTTGCTAGGCTCTGCTATAGTTACAAAGAGCAGGGGAAAAAAAAGAGTTAGGTTTATAATTTCAGATTATGTGATTCAGATAAAAACAGTTTAAAAAGTACATACTTTCATTGCAAACACTCTTCCACAGCCTGGATAATCACAAGAGAATGGTTTTTTCTCCTCATGAAAAGAGAGGATATGGCTTTGAAGGTTAAATAAAGTTGTGTAAGTTCTTCCACATCCTTCTCTTGGGCATCGGCAGACTTCCCTCTCCACAGCATGTGTTTTTTGATGCTGCTTGAGGTAATCTTTCCGTTTGAAAGTTTTGTGACACTCACTGCAAACTATTGGCTCTGAGTGGGAGAGAGAAAAAGGCAGAGTATAAACAGTTTCTTACAGAAGCTCAGAATCAAATCCTAGTAGTTCTCCAGAATAATGCTAAAATCCACATGAAATGCAAGGAACTCAGAGACTGGAAGAGAATAATGTAGTATGAATTATCCAGATCCTAAATCCTGCATTAAACAATTTCTTCTTAACTGGATCATAAAGCAAAGTCAGTATACAAAACAGCATTTTCATCAAAGATCTAGCCAGAGTAACAACCAGTTTACCGACAAAGTGTTAAGACAAGTTTGTACACAATGACAAGTTGATGAAATGAGTTCAGCACAGACTCCTCTTCAAGTTAGCATTTGGAGTTTACCTGTATGACTGACTTTATTGTGTTTCAGAAGCTCTGTCCAAGTTTTTGCAGTATATGAGCAATTTTCTTTCTTGCACGCATAGCCTGTTGGACAGGACAGATGTTTAAAGTCACAGAGGGTCTGGCAAACACAGTCCAGTTTTACAAGGGGGAACTCCACTTCTAGCATTTAAAAATTAAAGGCCAGTAATTCCTCTCATACTGCACAGGAATGGGACAAGACACAACAAACACAAGACATGAGAAGATCCTAACAGGTTTAAGAAAGAAACCTTGTATCACTGACTGAAGTTGTCCTGAGAGGCTGTGGAAGCCTTAGCCATGATAACATTTAAAACTACTGGACACAGCCCTCAGCAACCTGGTGTAACTGATCCTGCCTTGAGCAGGGAGCTGGACCAGATGACCTCCAGAGGTCCTTTCTGATCTAAACAATTTTGTGAAACTCTCTCTCCTTGCTTCAGTAGAGCTATTTCTTTCACTCAAATGGATGAAAATAATTAATAACATATAATATTCCTATATAAGTATTTCTATTGCATATTAAAAAAAATCTTGACCATACAGTAATATTCCAGGTCTAGAGACTCTACCATTCTATCAAGCAAACAGAAACCACAGAAAATCAACCCTATTTAAATCTCAGGACTGGAAAGGTCAAACAATTATGAACAAGAAAGGAACACACTACAAATCGCATCTTTCTATATACTCTTCCTAGTCTGTTGATTCCATTTGGGTTTTTTCTATCACTAGAAAGCTGGTTAGCTGTCAACAGTACTGAAAGAATGGACAGGAGTGTAGCAAGATTAGCTCAAACATACACAGCCATGTCATAATGATTTCACTTAAAAACCTTTCACATAGGTTCATTAATAACTAAAAATGCACATGGTTTTGCCAAGGCTCTATATGAAATTTGTGGCAGAACTGGCAATTGATCCTAAGCTCTGGAGGTCCAGGCTAGCGCCTTAACCAGTAGTCCATCTCCAAAGATGGATTATTGATAAGGAAGCACCTCAGGAGAAGAAATAACTGAAGGAATCATGAGCTCTGTTCAGTCTGCCACAAGTGCACTGAAACTGAACAATGCCTTGCAGTTGTATCCCATTTGACTATTCAAAACGGGTGTTCTTGTTTTTTCTGTCTAGATCACTAGGCCCAGAATACTTCCACATGTGTCACACATACTTGCATACTCTCTGCTGGAAGAAGCCCTTTTTCCTTTTCTGAAACGTGACTGAAGCAAGAAGAAAAAGCTATTATACCTTCATGTGTCTTCTCATGCCGCTTTAGTCGACTGGGAGTAGAAAAGCCCTTTCCACATCCTTCTTTATTACATCTAGGTATAAAATACAGTAGTTTAATTTCTTTCACTGTATCTACATATTTTTATATCTTTAAGTCAAGAACAATCAAAGTGAAGAAAATAATCCAAGTTTCCCCTTGCCTAGAGATCTGTGTATGTCCCCACCTTGTAAAAGAAAATCCTATAATATTTTTCTAACAGAGGATTCTTTAATGCTTTTGAGAGTTAGAACTATAGAGTCAAGTCTTCTACCATCCCTACACAGTAGGCTCTTCAAACATAAAAGAGAGAGAGAAAGTGGAAAGTTTAACTGGCTTGTGCAGATCCAGCAGTCAGAGCAACAGCAGAGCACTGATTATTTTTGTGTCTGTCACCCAGCCATACTCACAAACTTCACTTAAGTGGAATGAACACTCATGTTAAGTGTGTTCCACCTGTAAGAAATACAAAACTAAACTTTGCTTTCATCAGATCTATACTGATGTGTTATCTCTATGGAGTTGCAGTGCACAGCTTCTAAGACTGGTGTCCAAGTCTCTCATCTTTTTGAAGGTACTGCTCACTTCAATGTTAGCCAAGTCACTGTTTTTTACTGGGTAGCTGCATTTTTCATTACTGTGCAAGCTCTTATGCTTGATTTCAGACTTCGTGAACTAAAAGCTGGGGGGAGTTATTTTTCCTGTGAACCTGTAATAAACCATAAGAATGCTGGAGCTGCTGGAATGCCAAAGTTACAGACCACCGACTGTTGCTCAAAACAGACTACTGAGCAAAGGACTAGTACCAGAAATATACTTGCAGCCATGACTACAAATTGATTCCATTTTTTAATGCCACATTAACAAAAAGGCTAAGAAAAGGCACCTGTTTTTATCTAGTGTTTAAATGGAATTGTTGAAGTTCATTATTAAAATTATCCACCTACTTGAAGGGAGGTTCATTGGTGTGGTGACACTGATGAACTTTAAGTTGTTGATGCTTCCTGAAAGACTTGTTACAGCCTTCAAAGTTGCACTATTGAGGAAATTGTTATCATTAGAAGCCAAATAATGACAGCTCAGTTCAGGTGTTTGCTGAAATCCCAGTCACAGTCTTTGAACTTATACATGTACCACATAATAACAAGTTGAAGTATTTCACTAGATACACAAAAAGGAGCTTGTTTACCTCCACTATACAGTACAAAGGTAATTACTCACCACATATTGCTTTTGCTGATTTTGATGCTTGCGCTCAATGTGCTTCTTTAAGTTTGATTTTGTTCCAAATTTCTCATTGCATCCTTCAGCTGTGCACCTGTAGATGAACTGCATTTTTTATTACAGCTCTCAAACAGTGGTTTGTTCCCTAGGCAGATACAGAAATCATTGCACAAGAGGAACGCATGAGGAACAACTGAAACTCAAAACCCAAATATACAAGTTTGCTTTAAAGTCATGAAAAGCCAGAGGCTGTTACAATCAACAATCACATGAAACATATCAGAAGATACTTTTAATAAAACACCTAGGAATTTCTAGCTCCTAATCCATGACATGCAACTATTAAGGGCTTGATAATAGGAGATAACCTTCCTTACTCCTTTAATAATGTATTCTAGGGAAAGACCTGCCTATGCCTTTAAGCATCTATTATAGATCGCTGCCAGACAGGAGGTTTTTAGGCTAAGGAAGATCTCCATGTCCCGTGTGCACATGTTCTGGCAGTGCTCACGATACAAAAGCTAAGCATGCATGCCCTGTGCCACCCTCAGTTATAACTCCCTTTCCGTACGGACAAGTGCACTGCCGCTTAAGGAGTAAAAACTTGGGCCTTACTCAAAGGGTTTTTCCCCGGTGTGCGTGAGGAGGTGTCGGGCGCGGTGGAAGTCTCTCGTGAAGCCTTTGCCGCAGCCTTCATAATCGCAAACATACGGCCTCTGAAACACAGGGGCTCTTGAGAGGAGCTGTCCCAAGGGGGCTCGGCTGCTCCCGGGATTCCGCCGTCAGCGGGATGCCCCGGCGGCACCGGTCCCGGCCGCGGACACAGCCCCGCAGCCCCCGCGGTGTCCTGCGACTCCGAGGCGGTGAAGGGCTGCCCGGTGCCCACGGGGGGGGACAATGCCACCCGTCTGCGGGGCCCCAGCGCGGTGCCCCCACTTCGGTCACACAGCCCCCCGTCCCCAGCCGAGGGGGCTCACCTCGCCCGTGTGCCGGCAGAGGTGGGCCGACAGCCGCCAGGCCTTGTTGAAGGTGGCGTCGCAGCCGGGGAAGGAGCAGATGTACGGGCGGGCGAGGAGGGCGCTCCCGCTCCCCTTGCCAGCGTTTCCCTTCCCGGAGCTCCCGTTCCCGCCGCCGTTCCCGTTGTTCCCGCCGCCGCCCCCCTGTGCGGTGCCCGCCGCCGCTGCCCGGCCATGCCGGAGCGCACGTGACTCGCCCCAGCCGGGGGGGGGGAATGGCGCGTGCGCGGTTGTGGCGGGTCTGAGGTGCCCGGAGGGACGGAGGGAGCGGAGCCGACCCCGGAGCGGAGCGAGGCACGGAGTCATCACACTGCTGCACGGAGTCACGGAAACACGGAGTCAGCTGGGTTGGAAAAGACCTCCGACATCGTTGAGTCCAGCCTGTGACCGAACACCACCATGGCAACTAGACCATGGCACTGAGTGCCACGTCCAGTCTTTCCTTAAACACCTCCAGATACGGTGACCCACCACCTCCCTGGGCAGCCCATTCCAATATCTAATCACCCTTTCTGTGAAGAATTTCTTCCTGATGTCCAACCTAAACATCCCCTGGCACAGCTTGAGACTATGTCCTCTTGTCCCATCACTAGTTACCTGGGAGAAGAAACCCACGGCCACCTGGATACCTCCTCTCAGGGAGTTGTAGAGAGTGATAAGATCATCCCTGAGCCTCCTCCAGGCTAAATAACCCCAACTCCCTCAGCCACTCCTCATAGGACTTGTGTTCCAGCCCCTTCTCCAGCCTCATTGCCCTTCTCTGGACACAGTTACGCAGAGATCCACAAGCCTAATTCTGTGTTGCTGCACATCCAACAAGTCTCCCACTGTTTTAGGGACATAGGAGCTCTGCTGCCTCCCTTGAGAAGCACTTCATCATTCTTGAAGGTGCCAGGTGATGTCCTGCGACAAGGGATCGCCAAACGGGTTTGGTTTGGCTCCCTGCCTTGCCTGAAGATGGGTCTGTGTGATGCCGGTCAGCCTCTGGTCCAGACCAGGGCAATCTCGTGGACTGACATCAGCCTCTGCTGCGTGCTGCCTACCACCTGCCCCAAAACTCAGGTGTTTGCAATCCAAGTTGAGGTGTCCCTGCTGTTGGGGATCCTATGGCAGATGGCCTGTCACCTGTGGTCCTGCTGTGTCCCCAAGCCACCTGAGATCACAGCTAGAGGAAGAAGACGTGGGTCTGAGCTGATCTGAGGGACTGTGATACCTTGTGCAGCACGTCCCTGGTACATGACTTGCAGCTGAGGGAGCTGGGGTTGTTTAACCTGAAGAAAAGGAGGTTCAGGTAGGACCTTATCGCTCTCTGCAACTGCCTGAAAGGAGGTTGTAGTGAAGTGGGAGGTCGGCCTCTTCTCCCAGGTAACAAGTGACAGGACCAGAGGAAATGGCCTCGAGTTGTGCCATGGGAGGTTTAGGTTGGATATTATGAAAAAATTCTTCAGGAAAGGGTGGTCAGACATTGGACCAGGCTGCCCACGGAAGTGGTAGAGTCACCATCCCTGGAGGTATTTAAAAGACATGTAGATGTGGCACTTGTGGATGTGGTTTAGTGGTGGGCTTCGCAGTGCTGGGTAGATGGTTGGACTCGATGATCTTAGAGGTCTTTCCAACCTAAATGATTCTGTGATCACATTGTCTGCTTTGTTTTGCACTATTTGAGTTGTAACCCAAGCTTTATTTTAGGTGACATCCTCCATCTGCTGCAATTCTCCCCACAGAGCGATTGTGAGGGACAGGGTAAGAACATGATTGTGACAAGGGAACCATCCTGTCGAGAAAAGCTCCCAATCCTTCTTCCCTGTTTGTGTCCCCTGAGCTTTAAAACCTGAGCAGATGGTCGTGCTTGGAGCAGGCTAGGAAAATGGGGGAGGAAAGACAGGAGGAATAAGGATCAGGAATCAAGTATGTGGGGGCTGAATCGGAGAAGGGACACATGAAGTGAGGTGGCATAAGTGCCAAAGGACAGAGTGCCTAATGGCTGTGCAGAGCACACTCTGAGGAGGGAAACTGCTGGTAAGAGGGAGGAGTTCCTGTCTACCAGAAGCAGATCCCCATGGCCCTGGGCAATGTCTCTTATCTCACTCATCTGTAGCAGGATTAAGGGGAGGGCTGAATCGGTCAAACCCTCACAAAGAGAGAAAGAAATCACCTTCTTTTTGGCAGGGAAGTCAGTTTAAAAAAGGTCTCAGCTTTTAACAAATGTTAACCAAAACACATAGAAGAAAAAGCTGCTGTGTTTTTTGGTTGGGTTTTATTGGGGGGTTGTGGGGTTTTTTGTTTGTTTGTTTGGGGTTTTTTTGTCTTGGAACTGCAATAAAAAACAAACCTGAAATTTAAAAAAGAAGTTATAAATATTGCTTTTTCAAACAGTTGCCTGTGACAACATGATATTGCCTCAGGCCTCTCCAAAACAGTTAAGGAAATAGCATGCAGGGGAGAAAACTTTTGGAAAATGTTATTACTAGCTACACAGAGAACAAATATTCTTCACATTGGGTTTTGCTCTATGCCATGCCATTTAAAAATTTCAGCAGAATTATCTGGAAACTTTAATCCCATTTTGGAAATATATAAATAGAAGATGACTCAAGGCCAAAGAAATTCTGTTGTGTTGTGCTTTAGATGTCTCCTGAGTTGACTACAGAGGGAGGATTTTGAAGAGTCCTCTACTAGAGCTGGAAAGAGAGTGGATTCACTTTCAGAGTTGATAGTATCTTTTTCTGCTGTGGGAGGTGGAAGGTAAACCTTCAAACAGGTAGACATATGCAATGGAGAAAAATTAAGTCTGAAGATCTACATTTCCAACACAAGGTCTACACTTCAACTGATAAATGTTAATAATGTGTAAACTGAAGGGGAGCAAAAACCCAGGAAAATGAGGTAGTTCATTCCCTCAAGAAAAAAACAACACAGAACTCCCTCACACACACATGAAATCCCCACAGGGTAGTAAATCCCTCAGACTCTGATTAAAATGATTTCTTTAAGCTAGCAGGATCTACTCAGAATTAAGTATCAATCAAGGAAAGGCTTCACATGGTGCTGTGAATACTCATGTTCCTCTGAAGAACTACTGAGTGAATGGGCCACGTATCTTCTACGACACGATGTTTCGTTTTCGCATCCCAGTGTTCTGCTGTAAGTAGTGGTATTTACTTCATCTCCAAACAGGAGAAGTCCAAAGTTCTTGTGTTTATGAACATTACATAAAAATTATTTGAATGTGTACTTAAATGCAGATAAATGTGTTTAAATGTGCCTCCGTAGTAGCTGTGTGATTGCAGAAATTATTCCCCTGCATGAGAATATTTGGAAACTGAAAGATACTTCTTCCTATGAGCCCTGTAAGGCCATCCATCTAGAGAGGTCACTCCATCCATTTAGAGAAGGTCACTCTAAACAAACCTACGTCCTGAGGACCTCGCTGCCACCGTCCAAGCTCGCTTAGCCCTGGCAGATGAACCTTAGGATTAAAGAGTGGGCTCAGTTCAGCACATACTGTGTCTCACCTAAAAAAGTCCATTGCTCGGGCTCAAAGGCCTTACCCGCATTTGCAAAGCCCTGTGTCACCAGCGCGCTTGTAACAAATGTGGGTGGAGACCTTTCCCAAATCTTCGTTCGCGAAGACTGGCCATGATGATGATGATGTTGCAAGTTGGATATTATCTGCTTGAGGCACTGTGTCTAAGGTCTCTTGACCTGGTCCAGTGGAGATGGGATGCAGAGAGACTGTAACTTAAGAATGACACTAACTGCTGTTTATGTATTTTGAACTATTCCCTACAAGTTTTGGGCGCCTGACTGCAATGGTGGTTCAACAGTTCTGCAACAAGGCTAGACACATGTCTAAAAAAACAAAAAGGCTTTCTGCTTTCCAGAGTAAGTGGAGAAATGACCCTGAGATTAGCTCAGTTGGTTAGAGTATGGTGCTAATAACACCAAGGTTCTGGATTTGATCCCCATATGGCCCTTTTTCAACTTAAGAGTTGGACTCAGTGATCCTTGTGGGTCCCCTTCCAGCTCAGAATATTCTTCAATTTCTGTGAAACTGTGTTGAGAAGCTCAGTGAAGTTGGCAGTAGTTGTCAGGAAACTTCCTGCAGTTTGTGGAGAAGTCCCTCAGTGGGACTTCTATGGTAAACTATCACATGTAAGGTAGGGTGGCAGTGAAATGTAGCAAAGAAGTACTTCTAGCATTTTTTTATACAGGTGAATCCACGAATGTGGATGAGAAGAGCAGGGTTTGGGAGAAGGGCCCTGGTGGTTGTTCGTATTGAGAAGGGTCAGCCCAGCCAAACTGAAAGTACTTCCTGCATCTTTGGTATTACTGCTCTAATCTTCTCTGCCATTTCCCCCTGCTCCAGTTTACTGACCTCTTTTCCTCCTCACGACAACGGCTTTATTCCTTCCTTCATCCAAGTTTGGGCTCTTCCTTTTTTCCTAAATCACAAGCTTGTCCCAAAGCTAAGGGAGGGTAGATGAAGTACATGTGAATTATGCAACCTGCATGCTGGAGATGAACTGCAGTCAGGATAATGCTTTCTTCATCTCTCTGTTTACTGAATTATAGCTAGCTTGTAATGGTGCCAGTGTCCTCAGGAGCCCTTTCTAGGGATTTCTGGGAACCACAAAAACATGTTAGGAAGGGGATGGAATTAATCAGTTGGGCTTTCCTGCTGCTATATTCAGCCCAGCAAGCCGCCTCCGACAGATGTTTCTGCTTTTAGGCCACAAGGAATGTTATTGACTGGCTTTCCCTGCATTCAAGGAGCATGTAAAGCTATAAAAACTTGTTTTCTATAAGAGCATTTTCTTGTCAGGTGATGTTTTTCTATCTCGGGCACAGTGGATTTTAATGAACTTCTCCATAGACTGATCCCTGAAGAGAAGAAACAGGAAATCTGCATTACCTGATTCCCTCCTGTCAGTGGTAGGCATGGGATGTAAGCAATGGCGAAGTTGCACAGCAGATCTGTGGGGAGCAGCACCCAGAGCCCGCTGCTTCCCATCAACCCTCCCATCAATTATCCTGGCCTGCTTAGTTTGAATAAATCTTCTGTATGTTCTGTGGTCATACAGACCAAATTAGAGCCAAGTCCCAGGTGTTTCTTGGAGAGTTTGAGGCCGGTCAGTTCATATTGCTGCCTGGGTCTTGGATCTTTGCCTATTTTCCATGGCTTGCATGAAAAGAAGGGAAAACTCCGACTTCGTTTGCTGGCTCACCATGAGCTCTTTCCAGGTGGGGTGGGGGAAGGGAGGACTTGAGCACAGCCTCTCTGTGGGCTATGGGGTAATGGAGGA